GTTTATGTTATTACCACCATATCCATTTTTTTTATGTCAAAATCACGGTATCCATTTTTTCATGTCAAAACGGAAATTTAAAAAAAATATAAGTTCACCTTTTTTCAACAACCGACTTCAAAATATTAAAAAACACCAATTCTGGTTCTTGAAAATTTAAAATCAATTTGAGACCCTAAATTTAGGAAAAATCTCAAGGATTATGAACTTATCAAAACAACCCTTAAAAAAATCTAAGGGATTATGAACTTATCAAAAAGTAAAAAACCTTAGTAGGAAACCCTCGCATATATATATATAATTTTCCATATCATGAGTGCCATATCCATGTTGAAGCTTGCGAGCGGGCGTGTTGAATAGTATCATGTTCTAGTATCCCGTACATAAAGGAACCTCTTTCGAAGAGGTCTAGACATCCATTCTCGGGGCCGACATTTTATTTTGAACTAAAAAAAAGACTTTGGAACTATTAAAAAATAAAGAAATGGCATGTTCAAGATACATGGTTAGTAGTAGGTCTGACCCAATATTCAGGCTCTTCCCACGTCATTCTCTCACGAATGATTGTGTATTGATGAACATAGTCTTTAAAGTGAAGACATATGTGCGTCAAGGAGGTATCGGTTCTGAAACTCGAGACGGTAAGAGATCGAACCGAGTATGGCCATGGAAGATCGCCATCCCTTTGGATGTTCTAGTTCTAAGAGACTCTGCTAAAGGATTCATCTATTTCTTAATTGACAAGTTCATAGGCATGGACATTCCCCAGAAGATTATAGCCTCCGTAGTATGTCAAGTCATGGTTCAACTGAGGGTGACCTCGAAGGACTTCGCCTGTTCGCACCTTGAACCAGCCATTGATGTAGCATTGGAGGTATTTCTGTCTGTGGAGATTGAATAATCTGAGGATCCAGAGGAGAAAGATTGAGAGGGAGATTGAAGAATCTGAGGATCCAGAGGAGAAAGATAATGTGTGTGTGCCTGTCTGAGGTTGGTGTTCAGTATGATGATGATGCATGGGAGGTGCCATGTAACCATATTTATCACATTGATTGCATTTTGCTTTTTGAAGTGGCCAGAGTCCCATGATTTATGTCCAGTGTGCCGATCTTTATGATAAATGATTGCATTTTGAAGTGGCTAGAGTCCGATTTATGTCCACTGTGCCGATCTTTATTTATTAAATAACAAGTCAAGGTAAGAGCAAATACTTGTATATACTGATGAAACTTTCTGAATTTGTTTTTGAGCAAATACTGTCCCATAATTATAGGAATTGTCCCTTAGGACTTGTTTTTAATGGTTAGAAAATCCGAGTCAAGCGCCCGATTTTGTACAGGAAACAAACTTGAATAATTAATTTTTTATTCTTTTCCATTATTTCTATGTTTTTTTCCTACCTGTGGTATTCTTCCTTTGCTTTTCGATAATATGTCAGAGGCAATTTTATGCTTTATTTCTCATACTCATAGGATGTTCACGCTACTTTACTTGTTTATGAGTCGATGAAGTACACAATCAGTGGATTCCATATATGGAAATCATGTTTGCCACAACTGTGGACACGACTTTCGTTTTTAGAACTCAGAAGTTCAAAAGAAACCAGTTGCAACCCAATCTCTTGAAAAATTGTGACTGATAAAACTGGTGATAATAGAATTGTGTTAGTCTGTTAACAGTGATACATGTTAACAAAATTGTGTTGAGAAGAAGCAGATTCTTCTATGAATAGTGACATTGAAGTAACCAATTTCCAAGGCTCTTTAGACTTCGTATAAAAGACTCTAATATCTTGTTCAATTACATTATATTTGTAATTGTCTCTCTCACTTTCTCTATCAAATGTATGCTTGTAAATATAAAAGTTAATTCTCTAATACTCTTTGGTTGTTGCTGTTCGAGTGCATTTAAAAACAAGTGAAATAAATTAGATCTCCTATTCATTTGTGTACCAGGGATAAATCTGATGTAAAGCTTGGTTGGTCACCGAGATCAATCTAATAAAGGGGCAAATATTATTTTGGGATAGTGTCATTCATTGATTAGGAGGCAAATGTTATTTTGGAAGTGTAATAATCCTTCACTTCTTCATTTTTTTCTCAGCAATTCAGCTCTAGTTCACTCACCATTCAATGGAGCAAATATGATTATATTTTGGAACAAATGGGCACATATATGATTATGTTTTGGAATTATTTGGTTTATAGATCTGGGAATGACTATTGACTTTATATGCTCTAATCTAAGAGCAAAGCTGGCAATGGCCGGTCAGTCTAGCCCGGCCCTAACAAATTATGACTTAGGACAAAATATGACCTGAGAGGGCTTGGGCTGGGCCTAGGCCGTGGCCGACCAAATTCAGCCTGGCCCCGACCTTTCTTTGTTTCTTCTATTTTTTAGGGCCGGTTGGGCTCTAGCTACCCCCGTGGGGACCATGGCCGGGCTGGAGCCAGGACTAGCTGTCCCCGGGCCTGGCTCATTGCAAGCCCCTATCTAATAGTTATCAAATTAATCGAGAGAACGATAAAACCGTAAACATTTATCATGAGTGGAGCATAATATCTCTCTTATCTCATCAAAGCATATGGTTTACAAACTGAGAGCTACGCTCCTCTCATCTCATCAAACCATATGGGTTGCAAACTGGGAGCTATGTTAGCCAGAACTCAGGATATTCACATGTTACCAAAAGCATGCCAGCCTAGTGTAATATGACAAACAAGTATGGTGCAACCTAGTGTTTAAAACATCGGACTAGAGGGTTAGACCAGTTACCCACCAGTTCCAAGTTTAAATTGGCTAACGCTGTGAACCAGATCAAGAGTTCATGGTGTTATAAAAAGCATTGAAAGTTTATGGAGGAAAAATGGATAATTAAAGTAAAACACTTTTCACAGGCTTTCTTGAACATGGTACATAGACAGGCCCACTTCGTCGAGGTTGGCTCTCGAAGATGTGATGCTGAGTAACAGGTTCAAGAAATCCGTGGAGAAACATGGAAACAATCGTAATGCTGCAGCGCTCGTTCGATGGTGATTTTATAAGAACGTCGGCATGGTTGATGGGGTGCATGAAATATGTCTCATTTTAGTAAATTTTGGTTGGTAGCTAAGAGAGATTCATATAGGATAAAGATGTCAAATTCCCACATATTTACCCAACTCTCGGTATTTTCATTTCCACTTTGTACATTGGATTTTAAAGGTAGTTGTGAAATTTATGAAGGTACATGCAGGAGTGGATCTTCATAAATTTGGGTGGGTGCTTACACAAAAGCCATTAGTGGAGAAAATATAGTAGCGAGTTTATTTCAAGAATATATAGGGAATGGCGTTTTATTTCTCGAGATATATTTGGTCATAATAAAGTTATAAGGCGTTATTGTAAATGTTTTTCCTCTCCTTCGTATTTTTATATCTAAATATTTAAGGGAAAGTATAGAATTAGATCATTTACCATTGATACAATTGGTCACATTAATCTTGACCATTGGATGTGAAATTGGGTGGCTGCAATTATTCCACTTACTAAGCTCAAATTTCAAACGAAGTTTCTCAAACTTTGTGATGCATTCAAGCTATCAATTTCACATCAAATAGTTGTAAGGAATTGTGACCACCTTGTATCAAAAGTAAATAGTCTCATTGAATATGAAATATAATTGTTATTGATGTGATCTTGATTTTGAGAAATATACTTAATGTTCATTTTTCATATAAGATAATTATTGATGGGGTTTGTTTTTGGGGCATGCTTTCTATACTTCCTTTCCCTATTCAACTATTTATTTTGAATGGACAGTTGAGCTGACCCCAATCACAATGTCACACTTCTACACAGATTTAATTTTAATTTTTTTCTACAAAATATTTTGATATTAAATTTGAACTTTCACTCCTCTCTTAAATCTCTTAAATCGCACTTCTAAAAAGTATAAAAAAATATTCTCAATAAAAAAAATGACCAAAACTCTTTCAAGATATTTTGGTTATTGTAATTTATTGAAGATATTTTTTTAATATTGCTTTCAAGTGCTCCATTGCAATGATGGTACAACTAAAACTAAAATACTCTGAGGCATTGCAATGATGCTACAACTAAAACTAAAATACCCTGAGGCATCGGTCAGTGGCTCACTTCATCCAAATTGAACGGTTGGATGGGAGGAAATATATAACACACTTCTAGTAGAAGAAGTATAAAAACTCACTTAATCCAAATTGAACGGCGGGATGGGAGAAAGTATATAACATACATCTAGTAGAGGAAGTATAAAAGCCTTTCCTAGAATTATGTATTTTTTGTCCCCCTTATTGATACGGTAGAAACAGTATACTATTCCGATCTTTTATTTGATTGCTTTGGGGTTTTGTTTGGTGTATTTTTTGCCCCCCCTTATTGATACGGTAAACATAGTATACTATTCCACTCTTTCATTTGATGTCTTTGAGCTTTTTAGTTTATGTTTGAATTGTTTCTTTCTACCATAGGAAATTTTTAAAAACCAAATAGCAAAGATTTATATATGGTCTGGAAAACATTTTTGGTATTACAAAATAGACCAAATTTTATGCAATGTTACACAGAGATTCTGACTTTTGTGATTTACTTTTATTCTCCAATTTTGCACTCATTGGACCACGTTTTTTTATTTTTTATTTTTTATTTTTGTGGTTTTTTGGGCCATTGGTTTCCCTTGATAGCGTAATCAGATATTGGAAGCATAGGATGACCCATAGTTGATTATAGCTAATAGTCCAGTCCAATGTTCCCAGCATTAGACTATTATTTCATCCTAGTTTTGATTATTTTGGTTTAAAACTTCAAATAAGTAAAAAAGCATACTATAATCACTTAACTCCTAATCATGTCGATTTATCAGTGTAATTAATAGGACAACCTGATCCATCCACTCTATATCATTTTAGGTAGGTTCCACCCTTTCTCTATTGTCACTACAGAAAATCTTCCCTGAAAAATTTTCTTACGCAGTTCATTAAAAATAAAAAATCACTAATATGTGATTCATGTATGGGGTAATGATCTTATTCAATTTCTTATAATGAGAAATTTATGGTTAACAATGATGTAATATTCCACAGATTCTTTGACAATGGAAGCACAATTTGACCCATTTTAGGGGGATATTTTTCCCATTTTTGTGTTTTTGAGAGTTGTACAAATTTTTGGTTTGCCTTATATACTTGGTCCTACTTTGTTGAGCATATGGTGCATGGACAAATTTCAATATTGAATATCTTAATGTATATGGTTGAAATATAGAATCATTGAACCAGAGATTATATCATTGAAGCCAAACATAATTATACCAATTACCGTGGTCCTAAGCAGCGACCTTTCATTTGTCTGATGGACCTTTTTTTTTGTGTTGCATTATGGTATGTGATTATCAACATTTAATCTAATTAATCAAGCTCAAATATTTAATGTTTTTCATTGATAGAGGTAGATATCTTATTCTTCCATACAATGTAGAATATCAAGTTATTAGCATTGGATTTCTAATAGTTCAGAGAGATTAAACCAGCAATGGTTAAGATACAATGTTTAAAAATGACTGACTATGTGCAATACACTAAAAAAGCAAACATATTGGAAGAATTAGTCAATCAAGTTATAGAAGCATTCAATTGCTATTATGATCTATGCATTAAATAAATTCTTACGCGATAGGAACAATAATAAAGACGGAGCTAAGAACAATAATAAAGAGGGAGCTCATGGGAAAACTGTTGCCAACGCCTATAGGTGAAAATGAACAGTAATTTTGTCTATCTTCATCACCATCCAAATTTCATCGCATGGTCACAGTTGTCCGGTATTATTTAAATTTTCATTTTTTCTTTTACAAATCCAAATTACTTGAAATTTGGAGCGTGTGTATATCTTAGTGAGATGTACCTAATAAAAATATGGAAAACATAATTCGCAAAATATAAATTGACCAAAATACTTCTGAAAATTAACAAGGGTATTTTGATCAATTTATATTTTATGAATTATTTTTTTCATGTTTTTATTAGCTGAGCTTCACTTAGATATACACACGCTTTCAAATTTCAGATATAGCGAAGATTTATAAACGGTCTAGAAAACATTTTTGGTATTACAAAATGGACCATATTTTATGCAATGTTACACAGAGATCCTGACTTTTGTGATTTACTTTTAATCTCCAATTTTGCACTCATTGGATCACGTTTTTTTATTTTTTATTTTTTATTTTTGTGGTTTTTTGGGCCATTGGTTTCCCTTGATAGCGTAATCAGATATTGAAAGTATAGGATGACGCATAGTTGATTATAGCTAATAGACCAGTCCAATGTTCCCAGCATTAGACTAATATTTCATCCTAGTTT